AGGCGTAAGAATAAAGCAACCACAAGCAGTTTGCCACAATCCGCAGCACTTTCTTCAAGGAAAGAAGGCCTCATTACGACACCCGATGGCTGCAGTCTTAGCACAAAGGTTGTTCCGGTCGTCAATGAGGCATCTGCGTGCAACCTAAGTCACGATGGGCGCATCACCACTGCGACACCAGAGTCCCCCGATAGTACGGTAAGCTGATTAAGGGAGAACCGTGCAGATGGTTCTGGTACATTTATCCAGGGTGCGGGGAGCTGCCCGCACTCTGCACGGAAAGCCTGAAAGAGATGCTCTCCCCCGCTCCAAAGCTACCACTATCCCCAAATAGGGTTAACACTAAGTGGCAACAGAAAGAGACCTTGAAACAAGACTGAACCTCCGGCTGTGCACACGCCACCATGCGCAGGGACAACGTTAGGTCGGGCCTCCGTACCTCCTACCCGGCCCTAGCGTGTGGTTAGGGACACCGACCGCCGGACCCCTACAAAACCCACCCCGAAAATCCCACACACGGTGACTGAGAAACAACCAGCGGAAATGCACAACAGACCCATTGGGAAGTCGAGGGTGCCAGCCAAAAGGAACCCAAGTCACAGGAGGGCTAGCTTGATCATTTTGTTCAACGTCGATGTGTCGACAGACACATTGTCGTTCGAGAGAGGACGGTCCGACACATGAATGTGGACCGACTACTGTCAGATGCTGGGACTCCCTTCTCTCCATGTAAAGCTGTGTCGCCTTTCCCATGGAAGCTAGAGATAAGTCACCCCCTTTATGCATGTCCTTGAACATCGCAAATAGGCCGAAGACACCCTCCTCTCTCGCGACAGCCGGACGGTGTTAATGGCTGAGAAATTCGGACCAGGCCTGGTAAGCCATGGTCAATAAGAGAGGATGAAAGAAAGCCAGTGGTTGGAAATACAAACAGAGACAACGCTATAGTCGTACATGAGACTCCATAACTACCAAGTGACCCCTCAGCTAAAGACATCCAACAATGGCAGTGGCTTTCAACTAAGGTTGGTCTTGACAGTATACCGGCCAACAGCATCAGTAGACTGTCAAGGCCAGCGCGTCTGAAGTCCCTACCTACTCCCAGACTGCTCGCCATCCGGTTCGACTGACATGTCTCCCTCACGGGCGTCCTACATGTATGGTATAATGCGAGAGATCTTATGGGTGGCTCAGTACGCATGTGTGAAAGCAGGCCCAGACTCACGGGGCAAGGGGAGAGACGGCGACCGCCAAAACCTCTGGAGCCAGTGGTTGTCGCACAGGCACCGACCAGTGAGTCAGGTTCATCAGGTGAAGAAGCTCCCGTCGCAACGGCCCCGCTTAGGTTGAAAACGGGGCGTCGAAAAATGGAACGCTACCAGTTCCACGAGAGCTGGCGACGCTAGACCCAACCACGTAAGCGTTTATCCGCGAAAATATACAAACAGCTCTCCCCTCTCACCAGGCACACTCTAACATGTATGTACAGCAGCGTTAGGGGGCTAAGAGGGAAGGTGGCAGAAATGAGGACGCTGTGTGAACATCAGCACTCCGACATCATATTCATCACCGAATCCTGCCTCTCGCCAGACATCTCCGACGAAGAGATGCATGTTACTGACATGGAACTCTTCCGCAGGGACAGAGAGCACAGAGCAGGAGGGGGAGTGGCTCTCTTTGTAAACTCCCGTTTAAAGGCAAGGGTGGTTAGCGATACGGCCTTAACCCAGCTCTCAGAATCTCTATGGTGCTACTTCACTCTCCACTATGCCAAGTACCTGCTCGGAGTCATATACCGGTCCCCCGCCAGCTCCCCTACACATAAGGAAATGGTCACCAAGGCAATCTGAACGACTTCCTCGGCAAATCACGATTCCGTAGTCATTGCCGGTGACTTCAACACCCCGTCCATCCTCATCAAGATGGAAGGGAGATGCATCAGATCCTTCAATCAGAAGCTGAAGAATGCAATTAAGACTGCTGGCCTCTCAGGGAAAGTGGGTGATGCCACACGCTGGGGACCTAACGGAAACGCACCGCACCTTGACTACGTCCTGACGAACGATGACCGCATTGAAGGTGTTTGCGTCCGACCTCCTCTTGGCCTCAGCGACCACGCTGTAATCACCTTCTCCATGATTACTAGGGAGGCCCTGCAACTGGAGACTCCCAACACCTTCCCTTGCTACAGCAAGGCCAACTAGGAGACCATGAGGGACTATCCCATGAATGCATCATGGCCGGTAGACTGGACCCATCTCACATTAGATGAGCACTGGTCACAGATGAAGAAAATAATCACTGGGGCTATCAGTCACTGCTTACCAGAGGTGACACGTGGACTGTCAATGAGAACCTCATGGCTAAGGCGTGGGAAAGAGAGACTTATCCAGAGCAAGAAGCAGGCTTGGTTCAAGTGGTGTTCATCAAGCAGGCAGTCTGGCTTTTTGAACTGCAAAAGGATTCGCAACCGCTGTAACATTAGAGTTCGTAGCGACAGATTTCCCTATCAAGCAAACCTGGGGGAGGTTGCAAAGCAATCCCAGAAACCTGCGCCGCTTCGTGTCGAGAAAGAGGCTGACCAGCAAGGGAGTGAATCTTATCGCAGATAATGATGGGGGTGTACTAGGCAGTCTAGAGACTGCCGAGCTTTTGAGCTCATACTTCCAGGCCCGGCTTAGTACCGACACTAAACCCCACACCCGCTCATTACAACACCAACCAGGTCATAAACAACGAATACCTCTGGCACATTTCAGTCACAGGGAAAAAAGTGTTGGAGAAACTACTTGGGCTACGTCTAGGCAAGTCCCCTAGCTGCGACAACCCAAAACCGGTGATCCCAAAAACTGCGCCGAGATGCTTGTAAAACCAATCTGCCACCCTCCAAGCACTCAGTAGAGTCATGCAAACTCCCTAAGGAGTGGAAGAGAGCCATCTTCTTACCCATCTTCAAGCGAGGAGACGGAACGAGCCCTGGCAGCTACAGGCCAACTGCTCTACTCCCTATTGTGTCGAAAGTGTTGGAAAGCCTGGTAGCTGACACTGTTTGGGAGTCCCTCAATAGGGAAAACAGTGCATACTGCTCACCATGGATTTCAGAGGGGTAGCTCATGTGCCACCAACTTACTAACCACCTGGGATGACTGCACACTCAGTTGGGACAACAGAAAACAGCTACACGTTGTTTTTCCCAACCCGGCAGAGGCATTTGACAGTGTCCCACCCACAGTGTTGCTTCAAAAGATCATGTCAACCGGTTTAAGTGGACCCCTACCCTCTTAGTTCGAGGAGAACCCAGAAGAGAGGCAGCTGTGCACCAAGGTGAACAGAATACAGCGCGAATGGAGGCCGTCGACATCAGGAGTATCCCAAAGAGCAATCCTAGGACCATTTATGTTCTTCCTGTTTGTCAGTGATCTGACACACGAAATATCTTCATCTATCCTCCTCTCCTCTGACAGCATTGAAGTTTGGAGGGTGGTAAACGAAGAAGCTGATGGTGCAGCTCTACAAAAGGACTTGCAGCAGCTCGAACTCTGGTCGTCGGAAAATGGCCTGAGCTTCAACTTGGGAAAGTGCAGAGTAATGCACATCAGTAAAAATGAAGCAGGTACTGCCGACTTCCAGTACATGTTGAGCAACCGTGCTATCACCAGAGCGTCCAAGAAGAAAGATGTGGAGCTCAACTTATCCGATACCCTGAACACCAGCTCCAACCACAAAGGTGTGAGGACCAAAGCGAGCGTCATTCTGCACTTTCTTCGTAGACAGCTTAGCGCCCTCACACCCTAACTCTTCCTCACCTTTTTCCAAACCTACGTACTGCAGCATCTAGAGGTTTTCAACACGGTGCCTCCCCCCAACACTCAGGAGAGACACTAATCTAATTGAAAGAACACAAAGAACAGCAACAAAATCGGTTGTGGGGCTAAGGGGAAAGACATCCTGAAATACTTGAACACCTAAACCTATTTAACTTGTGTTATTGTAGGAAGAGGGGTGACCTTATTATGACCTACGAGATCGCCCATCAGGCAGACCACGCAAACAAATAACTTTTGCCTGCAACTCACGAGGAAACCCCTTTAAGCTGGCACACCAGAGTCAACACCTACTCAGGTCCAGCTTTTTCCCTCTGAGAGTATGAGCTTTATGGAATGTCTGAACGATACGTATCGTTAAAACTCCCCCAGTCGACTCATTCGAGAGGCGGCTAGACAGTTATGTCACCTCGCATGGTCTACCACGGACGTACTCAGGAAGTCACCAACCTCACCAACTCACCTTCACCTCCCTCCTACCTGCCACTCACTATCTCGCTCCTTGACACACCCATATTACCTACTAATCCTTCTGTAGGAACTAAACCCACGCTATCTATTTCTGCCATTCGGGAAACTTCCACACACTTTTCGCCCTTTTATCTCCCTTCTGCACCCCTCCTTTTCTTCTGCTTTCTTTCTTTTCCCCTCCTTCATTTTCTTATTTCCTCTTCATTCTTCTCATTCTTTACCACTACCCTACTATTCTCTCATAGACACTTAAACAAACAGGAGTCACAACAGTCCCCTAACCCTCCCAGCAACACGTAGCTTGCTGATGACTCTACAAATTACAACCCATGAAACATCCACCTCATCGAGGCTAAAAGCAAGGAAGCAGGGAGAATTTCCTCGTCCACTCCAGGAGTGAACTGAAAAATTCGAACCAAGCCACAAGAATTAGATACAAGAGATCAAAAACCGTCAGTTTTCTACGCTCTCACTACCAATATTGGATTGGATATTGGGAGCAAAAAGCAGGAGAGCAGAAAAGACTTCTTTAACCACCGTGGAAAAAACCAGAAAAAATGAACCAAGTCTCAAGAACTAGATGCGGGAGAATAAAAGCTATCGGTTTCCAAAGCTCTCACTATAGATGTTGGATTTGAATGTTGTTCGAAGCTTGACCTTCATATCGAGAAAGGTTGAGCGGTATCAATGAAATAGACGCTACTGATGATCACCTTAGAAGTGTGCAACCGGGCTGTTGAAGAGATCCTGTGTACCAGGTTTGAACAGGCAAAAGAAGAGTAAAAATACATACTTTATCCTATTGTGTCATACTTTTAGATCCAGATATGAAAAATCGACTACAAGGTTGCAGATTTCGACTGTGTATTATATAGCATAACTAATTCAACTAATGACAAGAAAAAGATACTGGTTAGTATCTTTATTAGATTCTTCGATGAACTAAAGGAACATGGAGCACTTGAAGTTAGTTTATGTCAATAAGTAGCTGTTTTGTTGAATTATATATTCGGAAGTGAGTGTTGCCCAGCCAGCATTAGCTTCTGGCGCACATTGTGAGTTTCAGGTTAAAACTGGAAGTTTTACTTCGGGCGCACATCGGGCGTGAATGTTCCAAACCTTTTCCCAGAAAGTGTCAAAAGTCACGAAGTGCGACCTAAGTTTCTGCAATGCGCTCAAAGTACCCAGTGTCTGTAGTGCGCCCGAAGATTTGTAATAACCCACATCCCAAGTGATGAGAAGGCTCAATCCGTAATATTTCTATCTGAATATTTGACGTTTAAGTGCTATATGTGTTTATGTTATAGAAGTCAATAAAGTGTTAGCGGCCTAGTGAAATATTTGTGAAATTTAGGGGAATACCCAAAAGTTGCTAAGTGCGCCCAAAGTAGCTTTGGATGAAACCCGGAAGTTCCAAAGAGCGCCCAAAGTAAATGCTGGCTGGGTGAATATATTGAAAGATACGTCAGATGTTAACTAAACTTCTATGCTAAGGATAGTTTACCATCCGATTAGCGTTAGTACTGACTGTAAGGTTATCCGTTTAGGGGCAGTTATTGGGAAGATTAGCATAGACTAATTGCCTACTGTCTTTTCACTGAAGACTGCAGTCTGTAGAGGTCATGACCTCTTCTTACGATTTGCAGCTTACATACAAGAAAGAAACCAACATGAAAACACATATATACCATTGTTTTCACCATTACGATGTACTTCTATAGCTTTCCAATTCGTGTTATAAGCATTAAAAGCAGTGGAAACCTGATTCGGTTGGAGCAAATACTATTGAATTCCATGATTTCGTTTTTGTAAGTTATCTACGTTCTGTAGTTTTCCCGATGCCCCTGTGTTTATGCTTTTGTTGGTCTCTGCTCGCAGATGTATTTGCTGATGGTGGTAGTGTCGAATCTTTTGTTTGCGAAAATTCAAATGTTTCAGTTTGTTCAAATGGTTGTTTGCGGAGTAAAGAAGCTTTCACTTAACTAGCTTCCGCATCTAGAATCCGTAGATCACTACTTCTTGTGGTTGTTAATCTGTGTAGAAGTAAAAAGAGAGCAAACAGTAGTGGTTAAAATGTTAAAATTCAACTAGCTCTGGGCAGATTCCAGTCACATGTCAAGAAGTATCCAGTCGGCGTTTAGAGGATGTAGACGAAGTAGCCTAAGTCAACTGCCGAGAGTCCTACTTCGTTAGTGGGATATTCGTAAACTCCTGAATAAGTGGACGATGACAAAAAGATTTGTAAATGCTGGTCATCTAGGAGCTCAACTGCTTCAGCGTTGCTACTAGTCAGTTTGCTGGTACCTAGTAGTTAAGACACTCCCACTTTAGCCTGCCGGAACGATGCAGCATAGCGGAACCGACTTGAGCTAGAAATAAATATTTTCGTAAGCCTAACCTGATACCGTTACCGACCGGCTTTCAGTGCCTTCGTGCATGTGTTTCTTGTCTGTTTGAATGGTCTCTAAGTGTATCCGGTGCCAATCCTTTTGTGTTCGGCCCACTAGTGTCTCTTTAACACAAGTAGTTTGCGAGTGCAGTTCCTTATTACCTTAGGTAACTTGGAACACTTTGGTGTTGAAAATAGAACAGACTGGCTGATCGCATTCATGATTTTCTCAAGTATGAATCTTCAATGGGTGTTCGCATCCTTCCAAATTTGTCTGTTCTAGCTTCATTCGAAGAGCCGGAATGTCAAGTTATCTGAAGTTCCAACTACGCTTATTGAAAGGACTGGTTAAATTGGTTTCGCAGACGTACTGCAAGCCGATAACAATATAGTCACTCGTGTCCAAAAGAAAAAGGATTACTAGACTGTGAAGATGCAGTCTAAGTGAGATAGGGTTTGGGTCTCTCGACCGCATTACCATTCTCACATTTTATGTAAGCCTGACTTATTCAGTCAGATTGAAGAGTCGGGCTTCAATGGAATCATCACTCCCACTAAACATATGATCTGCAAAGTTAACCTTTGGTAGGTTAAAGTCGCCTAGAATTAGAATATGTGTGTGTTCCGGTTTAAGAGAGCAACTGATACCTCTAGCATCTGATCATCATACTGTACGTCAGCAGATGGCTTTCTATAAATAAATAAATGAATAAATATTCAATTCTCATATTAGTAGTTTAGCATGAGAGACGCCAGTTTACAGGCATCATCACAGTGATATATGTTGGAAAATCTACAAGATTGTACGGGATCTGAATGTTATGGAAGGGAGGTCAGTAAATATTACTGGTGCTTCCTGCCTTCCTAAACCCGATGGGTTTAACTGAAGTTATTTCGCACAACGGATGTCCATTCTCCATCTTGAGCATCCTTGCTAGGTATGATCGTCTCATTCTGTGCCTCATCTGTTGACGAAAAAAAATCCTAGTGAAGGATTATAAGACAGTTGATGTTATTTCACTACTAAGGTGCATCATGTATTCTGTAAAACTGGTTCCTTGCTCTTGTCGGATAACTAGCATTTTTTTCCTTTAGTCGGTTTCCGAACTCCAAAACTCTCGTACTTAGGCGCAACTTTCGAATTTTCCAGCTTCCCCTTTTTTCGGTATATTTTCAGCCTTGTTTTTATTTCCGTTAACATGTCGATGGTGTTTTCAAGAACATCTAGCTTAAATCTACACAAGCGGGCAATGCCACTTGCGGCCAGGTTTGCCGCGTTTGGCGTACTCAGTTTACGTTAAGTCTGTGCAAACGTCATAGAACCACCCGTCGCAGGTATCACACTGCTTACTCTCCTGAACAAGTTGACGGCAGCCCTGCCTCCTGTACTTCTGCTGTTTGGAGACCGTTGTTGTAAAAAAGTATAGAAGGAAAAAAACACAAATACTCTAGAAAACTTGAAAAAGAGTAAAAACCGTAGCGTTATTAGATTCAACCAAACTTGGAACCGAGGTTAGGTCTCGTTATCCTAATGAAAACAGAAATACATGTAAAACTATGGTAGACCTATCGAACTTGAAGCTCAAAAACAATACTTTACTGAAAAACAGAGCGTTCGTTGCATTTCTCCACAGCAAAAGTTAAAATGCTAAACTCCGGTAAAATTACACTGTTGTTGCCTAAAAGTCTTATGACTTATCTGCTGATACCTGTGGAGTTTAACCACTGACTTCATGAGCTAATTTCGGTATAAGGAGTAACTAAAACCTTGGGGTACTGATGGCTACTTTTTCTGAAATTAACATCCACATATTAATCAAATGTAATTGAGGTAGAAGAAAATATCATTATGTTCATTTAATTATATTTGCATTAAGGAATTGACTACTGCCTACTTCTTCAGAGGCCCTATAGTGTATTAATCTAGACAACCATTTTGACCTGCTGCCTAGATCCCTATCCATCTAATTTGGTCTCAGCAATCGTTTGCTACCTTAATTCATTGCAACTACGACAAATCAAACCGACTCATGAGGCCGTATATAGCTATTAAGTGATACACCTTTCTTCACCTCCTGATTTTAGAAAGGTAACAATTATGCCGCTGTTGTTAGCCCTTCATATCGTTGTTCCTGTTCTTATCAGGCGTCTGATATCACCAGAGTTTATTTCTGTGGAGTTGTCAGTAAGTATTAGTGACATTACTCTTGCACCTTCCTTTTTATATTAAAAACCAATTATTATTCATTATTTAACTCAAGATATATTAAAATATCACTATTTATGACTCAGAATCAAAACCAATGGTTTTTTGGAGTTGAATCCTTTTTGTTAGCCAGTGAAAATCAATTCGGATGTATTGCATAGCAGTCCGAGTTATCATATCTCACATCACCACTTCCCTGTGATTTTTATGTTTGCAGCAATAAAGAACTCTCTAAATGTATTTCTTACTTCTATTCCTACTTTTTCATAGTTTCTTATTTGCGATTACTGCTGTTAACTCTTACTTCAGTACTTTTCTTAGTGCCTGTTTATATCAGTTTCATTTTTGAAATTGACTTGTAAACCTTTGCAAGCTGATGACAATTGTTGATGACACAAGAAACGTGTAGGTATTTGCGTGAAAACAGGTGAAATATGTATCCTGTATAACTGTCGCACATCTGCAAGATATATTGTCTTGTAATTTAGCAAGTGTTTACTTCCGCTTGGTTATGATTACTTAATAACCGTATATAGATTTGTATATGCATCGACTTCGTCTCAATCTGAAAAATGTGGAGACGCAGCCTACTGGACACAAGATCAGATCAAGAAGGGGGAGTAGATGTAGATTCACACCACTCACTTTCTAGTGTAACCAACCTACGTTCAAAATCAAGTTGAAAACCTTCACAGAAGTTGGTAATAGGCCACAGTTCGAGCCGAACACCCAGGACAGTAACTGAAGGACGAAACTACAAAGGACATCTTCACTTCAGTCAGGCATCAGAACAAAATGGGAGACATTGAGCAACATCCCTGAAGGACCGGGCGTGGAAGGACATTGGGACTCTTTAAAAGAGATGTGAAAAGAGACCGGCATAACCGTGCTAGGAACGAAGAAGTAAAGGCAAGGAATGGATCTAGACAGATACATGGAAGCTGATAGAGAAGAGGAAGATGCTGAAGCAGATGAGCCAGTGCAAGAATGCACAACGAAAAGAGGAACTGAGTACAACGTATAAAACACTACACTGGACAGAGAAGTGAAAAAGAGTGCACAGAAAGATAAAAGACACTTCTACGACACATTGGCAAGTGAAGCGGAACAGGCTGCAGGTAGGAGAGATCTGACAACATTATATCAAATAACCAGGTTGCTATCTGGGAAGAGATCAACGCAGATGAAACCAATAAAAGATGATGAAGGAAATATTATTACCAAAGAAGAGAAACAAAGGGAACAATGGGCCGACCACTTCAAGAAGCTCTTGAATCGACCACCACCTGCACTTCGTCCGGAAATACCACCAGCAACCCAGCCACAGAACTACAAGTGAACATAAATCCTCCAACAAAAATGGAAGTCCTGAACGCCATAAAGCTACTGAAATGTGGGAAAGCAGCAGGACCAGATGGAATCCAGCCAGAAGCACTGAAAACAGACGCAGAGACAACAGCAGACATGCTCACACCACACCACTATTGCAGAAGATGTGGAAGGAAGAGAAGGTACCTGGCCATTGATTGAAAGAAGGGCTACCATGTCAAACTCCCGAAGAAGGGAAACCTCAGTGTTTGCAAGAACTGGCGCGGAATCACTCTCCTGTCCACCCAATGCAAGCAAAATATTAAACCGAATCATCTTGGAGAGACTAAAGGATGCACTGGATTGAAAACTACGACCGGAACAGGCTAGCTGCATTCAGGAAGTACAAATCATGTGAGGACCAAATTGCAACGCTTCGCATCATCATAGAACAGAGTATAGAATGGCAGTCCACTGTGCCTGTACCTCCACTTCATCGATTTTGAAAAGGCCTGTGACAGCGTCGACCGAGAAGTAATTTGGCAACTGCTTCAGCACTACGGTTTTAGTGCAACAAACCTTTACCAACCTTATTCACCAACAGCTAGATGATGATACTACATGCCAAGTGATTGACAATGGAAAGCTCAGTGATGCCTTTGAAGTGAAAACAGGCCTGCTATCACCGATGATCTTCCTGATTATGGTTGACTGGATCATGCAGCAAAGCGTGAGGAGCAAGAAGAGGCACATATGCCGTTTGACCGATGAAAAGACCCTAGAAGATTTTGATTTCGCCGATGATGATTTATGTCCAATGTCTTGTCTCACAAACTCAAGATCTACAGGAAAAAACCAACAAGTTGACAGAAGAGGCGAGGCAGGGCAGCGAAGGAGGACGGGACTTCCTTCAAGTGAATGTAGAGAAGACAGAGGTGATGAAGATACCCAACTAACAGCAACAAGCACTAATCAACATCAAGGGGAGAATCTGAAGGGAGTTGTCTCTTTCACCCACCTACCTAGGAAGCATCGTTTCAACTACAGGCGGCTGCACAGACACAGACGAGGATGTCAAAGCCAGGATCGGAATAGCAGCAAGACAGGCCTCCACTAACCTGAAGTTAGTGTGGAGATCTACTACACTGCACTGTACTGCAGTCAGCATAAAGCGCGATCAAGATCCGGATTTTCAACACTAAGTCAGTGGTTGTATGTGATGGTTGAGGGACTTGGCGTGTTACGAAAGCATTTTCAACAAACTACAGACATTCATGAGCAGCTGTCTACGTTGGGTACTGAAGATGGATGGTCAGAAAGAATAAGCGACAAGAAACTCACTCTGGGAACGAAGTAACCAAACGGGAACCCATCGTCAAACAAATATGTACTGTAAGGAAGTGGATGTGTATTGGGCATATACTGAGAATACCGATTGGGGACATCATGCGTTAGACCAGGCTAGGCAGTCGAGTGGGAAAGAAGGAGTTGGTTGTCCGAGTCGAGGGTGACATGGAGGAGATGGTGAGTGAGGAATGAATGAATGAATGAAAGGTTATGGGGAGTTGTGGAGCCGTGTTTAAATGGCTGGAGAGAGGGAGTGAAATTGTGACGTGCTACTGAAGCCCTATACTCCACTAGGAACCCAAGGACAAATAATAATACTGATATTAACAGGATTTAAACGAACTGAACTAACTATGTGGTTATCTAGGCTTATTAATTAGTTACATCTCTTGAGATAACAAATTTTAATACATATTTTCCAGTTTTTCTTTTACTCATCGTTTCCTTTCATTATCTTGATGTACCGGTTGTGGTTACCATTTTTTGAATGCCTATTCGAAACTGTTATGCGGTAATGTCACGTCTCATAATTTCATATATTTTGAGTCATGTGGAATATTCGCAGTCAGTATGCACACAAGACAAGTAATGTGTAGCTAACCATCATTCTAATCCGATTCAAATCATTTTGTTTTAAGATTGCTGTTTAGTTATCTTCTACTTAAGGTTTTAGTCATAATTGAGTCTGTATAACACTAACACTATTGTATTCTGATGTGTTTTATTGTTAAGGTCTTAACTCGTGAGTATGGTGATCTCCTGCTTTCTTCTCCGGAGCCCAATCAAAGTGTAACTTTATGCATAGATTTAGAAAGTCTACCAGAAGATCATAATCAGCTAGCTCATAAATGTGGTCTTTTAAAACGAAATTGTGTAGCAGCAGTGTTTGAGAAATTTTTCGAGTTTCAAGCTAAATCTGATGTGCATTCAGGTTCTAAACGGGCGATTATACATTATAGAGAAGATGAAACAATGTGAGTTTTTGATTATATGCCAATAATCTATGCTTCAATAATGCTAAATAATATCTTCTCCAAATTAAATGTAATATTCAAGGTCCGAGAAACATGTTTGCTGAAAGGCTCATCTTATTTGCTTTGAAAAAACGGAACACACCCATTTGATCAAGACGTAGTTTCAGCGAAGAAGAATTTTTCCTTTCGATGAAGTCATTTACTAAGCTGTACATTCGTGAATATGTTACAGTAGGTAGAATGTTTCAGAATGGTTTCCGGTTAGGGGGCAAAAATATTGAATGACGAAAGGAAGTTAATTAGTACACATTTGTGTTTAGAGTGGAAAAAATAAACAGGTGACTATGAAACTAAATGTGATTATGTAATACAGGATGAATGTATGGCAAAGTAGGAAACTAAACGAAGGGTTATGGAGATAAAATTGCGATTATGTAATACCGGATAAGCCTATGACAGAGTATGAGAATAAACAGGGGATCATGAAAATAGATTGCAATTATGTAATTCAGGTTCAATCTGACATAGTAGAAAAATCAATAAGGTATGCATGTATAGTTACCTGATACAAAATGAATCTGTGGCCGACAGGGCTTTATGATGGTCATGGCAAAGATAAAGGTTGGATGTACCTTTTTTTGCACACATAATGCTGGTTTGAACTTCTGGATCGCTAGTGCCTTGATTTTACTCCCTTCAAGTGGTTTGATCGAACCCTGTAGAGAATTTTGGATGAGGTGTCGAAAGGAGATAAGTGGCCTGAGTTCACGAATTTCATGACCTTTGTTCGTATCTCAGTTATTTATAGACACACTATAATGGTTATGCCAGCTTATAAAACTGGTTAATGTCAGTTTTGATATAATAAAGAAAAGCTGTTCACTTATAGAATTCAATAACTATAATCCATTTTGTCGATGGAGGTATTAGTGAGTGATGTCAGTAATCGCATGTGGTTTTCACTTTTGTTCTGTTTTTCTTTGGAAGGAAATAAATTTTTAGAATCTTCGACTTTGTTTTAGGTAGACCTCTCATCATACATTGAGCTGCTAAACACCTCTCATATAAGGTTTCATATTACTAACCCTTGTAGATGAAGCTGAGTCGGAACCCGTGACTCGTAGAAACTCAGACCCCTAATCTGTTGAAACATAGCCCCACTATAATCCCTAAAGAATACCCTAGGGCTATTGTTTAAAGCAGTAACGTCTACATACCTGTCTCATGCTAACTGATTAGTGCGAAAAGATGCTTTTCTACTGGTTCTGATCACAATAAGGGGTGAAGGCAGCTCAAATATCTACTAACTAAGAGTCTTCACAATGACTGTGGACAGCAGTAGATGGCGAAAGTGGGAAAATAATGGGGAATGCGTCGGCAACGTTTTAGACTTATTAGGGGTACTGGAAAAAAAGAATACGTCCATGATAACCTCTAGGGACCCACGCCTAAAATATGGATGGAACACTTTGAAGAACGGTTCAACTAGTCCACAGCAACGCTTCCATTGCCTAACATCCAACCCGAACGTGAATGGGACGTATATGTCAGTTCTTCAGCTCACACAACAGTTGAGTTTTTCAAACCTGAAGTGATCCTGTATAGTAGGACCTGACAGTTTACCACTAGAGGTAAGAAATTATTGAATAGAGTGCGTATGCACTAGGTCGAAGCGAATCGAAACCCGCTCAACAACCTTGTGCAGATTCGTGCAGTAAGCAATGAGCTACACCTATTGTTTGGGAGCTAATGATACTCTCTGGTTGCTGAAACCTCGGCAGGTGGATCTAGGTTTGGACACGACTTATTGGTTAGAAATCAAGTATCTAAGCAATGAGCCACAGCTCCACTGGTAGCGTATGTAAATCAGAGGTTGTCCCCTCAGGACTGATGTAGATCATCAAATGGGATTGTTTCGGTAATCGTTATGAGTTTAACTATCTGAGATAGCCGTGATTCGGTAGGCTTGTATTTATTGATATTGGGTAATGATTAAGGGTGGATTCGAACCAGCAAACATCGGTTTCAAGTCTTGAATAAACGCAAATTTCTGCTACAGTAAATATTGGGATTGGGGTTCGAATTTCGTCTGAATATTTGTATCCTGATATGATATACTTTCCTGTCAGGTTCAACATTACTCACTTGGCCTATTCATACCAGATAGGTAGGTAGGTAGGTAGGTAGGTAGGTAGGTAGGTAGGTATGTAGGTAGGTAGGTAGGTAGGTAGGTAGAGAGAGAGAGAGAGAGAGGGGGGGGGAGAGAGAGTACAGAATAGAATGCAGTACAAACAATTTTGAATCCCTCCCATACATAAGTTTACATTTTCAGCGACCCTTCACTATAAGATTTGAAACTTATTTATTTACTTTATGCTATTTTTTATATAAATGAGTATGTTATTTTTTCTTTCTAATCTTCTTAAAAGGTATGTACAAGCATTGGCTGATCGTGTTACAGTTATCTTTAGTACAGTGTTCAAAGATCCAGATGATATGTTAATTGGCAAATTATTTATGCAAGTAGGTTTAAATTAATATTGAGCTGTAATGACGATTCCTTACCTCTCTTTCCCGATATTCAGTAATAGATGACGTTGGTGAAGGGTTTTACATTTATCTTTTGATTCCTTATATCATCATCATCGATATCAACATAGGACCAGGCATTACTGCGTAACGGTTCGAGTTGCCACACCTCATATCAGTAGATCAAGTAAAAAAGTAGTGAGGTGCAAGATGAAGAGAAAAGAGAGAAAGAAAGAATGAGAAAGTGTTGAGATTCAGTATAGCGTCGTTAAGATGAGGATAATGTTTCTGGGGATACATCTACGCCACTGACATCAGTTCTGAGTCATATCATCTAGAGTCAGTCTCCAACCACTGGTTCCTCTTATCCCGCGGACCTGAATCGGCTAGTCTACATTGCCCGACATGGCTCAAACCAACAGTCAGAGACTTCATGCATTGGTGCCATGTTCTGGTCTGGCTTCCTCGAGCCTTTTTCCAGCCTAAACCTACTTCTGACAACAAACATTGTGTGACGAGGCAGACGGCGACTAGGCATACGTTACACATGTCCCAGCCAGGCATCTGAGTTGATGAAGCTTCCCAGCAGTATCAATTGACTCACCTCTCCTGCATAAAACTCTGCACCTGACTTGTGCATTACTCACGTGGTGTGGTGACACCACGGAATACGGCCTTAAACTACGAATGTGACGGTGGTCAAACACTTGAAATCTTCTCATATCTTCCACCTTCAATGGCCATGTTTCATAGCCATGTAGTAGAACAGAGTGGATTGCTGTGAAGTACACTTGACCACTAATAGACAATCGGATATCATGGCGGCGTAATATACAAAGAATAAATGTCATTCAGACTTGAGTATTTGACTTCATATAGTGTCCGCCAGTCCTGATCTATATAGCTGACTAACAACATCAACGTGGAACTTCACACACAGGTCCATCGGCTTAAGTTGCCACACTTTACAGTAGTACATGAACATATGGATAGAAAAGAAGTGATCTCAAAGTAGACAAAGTTGTATAAGAAAATAAGCAATCTGAAGATAAAGGTTAGTGAGAATATTCAAGCTTAAGAAGACATCAAGGAGTGAATACATCTGCAGCATGTCTTTAGGAGTCCTCAACATCTCAGGGACCCCAAACGTGTAGTACACACAGCTCAGAGCGGTAATTAGGGACTTCATGAACTGGTTCCACGTCTTCATCTGGCTACCCTGAGTCCTTTTCCAACCTGATGCAACTTCCCTTACCATAGGATGTTGGGGTTGGGCAGTTGGTTGGGCAGGCCCAGTACATGTCCAACCCATGTCGGTGGACTAGGGTTCACAACCTCATTAATCGATATGCCTTTCTCGCCTAATGCCCTTCACCAGACCTCGACATTGTTCACATGGTGATTCTATCAAACGCGAACAGTGCTATGGAGGCATCTATGATCAAAGCCCTGTAACCGCTTCATATTTTCTACTTATGACAGCTATATCTCACCGCCGCGCCACAGGACACGACGGACTGTAGCACAGTATTCTCATCTTTTCATAGACAGTCAGATATCGCTGGCGTGTATACTTTAGTAGTACAGTCTCCGACTTATGTACCGAAAGACTTGGACTCGAATCCCAAAGGAAGTATGCATTTTTACCGGCTTTCAAATACGTCTAATTGATGTTTCCAGTCAGCACGAAACACGTTTTGTATTGAATCGTCTGCTGGTTGGTTTCGAACTTGTGACATGAAACCCTATACACCGAAGTGTTGTGTAACTTAAACTATGATGATCAGTTTTTAGATGTTTTACAAATTGCACCGTCCGTGTATATATTTCTCACAGCTGAGTGGTTTCTCAGTCGCTCAATTGTGATGTCAACTAGGTCTCTGTCGATGGTTAGATCACTCTAATATGGCTGTTGAAGTTTACATATCAGTGATTTCCAACTACTGAAGTTGTTCAGTTCAACGGGAACTCTCTTATTAGATTTATAACACACACACACACACACACACACACACACACACACACACACACACACACACACACACACACACGGTGATCTAGTATTATTTACTTGATGACCACGTTTCGAGCAGTATTCACTCATTAATCATAATCATACCTCAATGTAATCACACTCCAATTTCGACATCTGATTTCTATAGTTATATCACTTCTTGTGAGTTGTTTTTACTGGTAGCAAAATTTTCCATATCTCTGGTATACGAGTGTTCTATCATTTCCATTACATGTGTTGGGTGTTGGCTGATTCGATGAACAGTGATTCAGTAATCAATCTCCCTCTCTCTCTCTCTCCACCTAATTATATTGGAATTAGGTACATTGGCTTTATCCCACCCACCCTATTGTGTGTGGTTGTGTGTTAATGCAGGCATAGCAATAGCCGAGTGCTTTTCTACATTATTGATCTTATTCACCTCTGTCATTCTACATTTAGCTAAATTTCTATGTTCGGCTATTCTAACTGACCCCGACCGACTAGTTTGACTGACCTATATACTTGACCTGACTCACAGTCATTACATGGAATTTGATAGATTAGATTATCTTTGCTGAATTGGTTCTATCGGATCCTTAAACAACTAACTGAAGAAGTTTATCTCTGAGTGAGATTGTAGGTTTAAATGCCATCTCAACTAATTCCAGCTGTGTTGAGGATTCTACGTAAAGTTTCTGAGGTACCCTGCTTATAGGGTAATACAAAATGGAGGTTGTGAACTCCTTGTTTCTCGTGTTGTCGTTAGTAGTTGTACTCATGTGACTGTTATTTTTTCGTGTTTTGTGTGTCCGTAAGAGTTTCTTAATAAACTGAGGGGGATGATTATTAACTATTAGCGCTTCTCTTACGTGTTTCAATTCCTTGTTTAGGTTCTTGCTGTGACTAGTCAGTTTTGTAGCTGTATCATTTAGACATTTGACTAATCCTGCCTTCAATGACTGACTGACTGACTGACATATTGGATGGGATGATTTGAAGTGTAGATACGTGTTGGTTTTGTGTAGAGAGTAGTAGTATCCAAGCCACCGTCTGTTCTTCGTTTTATTCTGCAATCGAACATAGGTAATTCTCCTTGTTCATGTTCTACCTGCTGGTAAGTGAATTGGATTGCGTTTACTACTGAGTTTATATATATAAAACGAAGAACAGACGGTGGCTTGGATACTACTACTCTCTATAGAAAACCAACACATTCCAACACTTATCTACACTTCAAATCATCCCATCCAATATGTCAGTCACTCAGTCATTGAAGGCAGGATTAGTCAAATGTCTAAATGATACAGCTATAAAACTGACTAGTCACAGCAAGAACCTAAACAAGGAGTCGAAACACGTAAGAGAAGCGCTAATAGTCAATAATTATCCTCCTCAGTTTATTAAGAAATTCTTGCGGACACACAAAAGGCGAAAAAATAAGTTACACGAGTGCGACTAGTAACGACAACACGAGAAACAAGGAGTTCACAACCTCCATTTTGTGTTACCCTATAAGCAGGGTACCTTAGAAACTTTACATAGAATCCTCAACACAGCTGGAATTAGTTGAGATGGCATTTAAACCTACAATCTCACTCAGAGATAAGCTTCGTCGATTGGCTTCAGCATGCGAAAGGACCAATTCAGCAAACATAATCTAATCTATCAAATTCCATGTAATGACTGTGAGTCAGGTCAAGTACATAGGTCAGTCAAACTAGTCGATCGGGGTCAGTTAGAATAGCCGAACATAGAAATTTAGCTAAATGTAGAATGACAGAGGTGAATAAGATCAATAATGTAGAAAAGCACTCGGCTATTGCTATGCCTGCATTAACACACAACCACACACAATAGGGTGGGTGGGATAAAGCCAATGTACCTAATTCCAATATAATTAGGTGGAGAGAGAGAGAGAGGGAGATTGATTACTGAATCACTGTTCATCGAATCAGCCAACACCCAACACATGTAATGGAAATGATAGAACACTCGTATACCAGAGATATGGAAAATTTTGCTACCAGTAAAAACAACTCACAAGAAGTGATATAACTATAGAAATCAGATGTCGAAATTGGAGTGTGATTACATTGAGGTATGATTATGATTAATGAGTGAATACTGCTCGAAACGTGGTCATCAAGTAAATAATACTAGATCACCGTGTGTGTGTGTGTGTGTGTGTGTGTTGTGTGTGTGTGTGTGTGTGTGTGTGTGTGTGTGTGTTATAAATCAAATGAACCACAGTACCCTAGTTTTACAATTATATTAAACGAATTCTCTTAACTGGCCCTAGAATCGGGCAATTGAAGAAACTACACAGCTGTGAGAAATGTCAATCTGTGTTATGGAGTCTGTTAATCAGTTGGAAATTCATCATCCTTTTATATGTATACCAGTTCGTGCAAGTTAGCTAGTAAGATTCAGGTGATTTAAATCAATTTTCTCTTTAAACTGAATTTGTCCGGTTCACCATTGATGAATTGGCTCATTCTCAAACGGTTGAAACGGCTGTGTAGTGGTTAGATCACTGTGGTCTGACGGGTGAGATATCGTGTGAGTTGTCCCCTTCAAGTGGTGTCCGTCAAGGATGCTCACTATCTCCATTCTTATTCAGTTATATTACAGATATTGTTATGGGGATCTCCTCGACGTCCAATTGCACAGCTATTAACAGGAGAATTTTCGTTAGACCTAGAATACACAGATGACATAGTCCAGTTGGGTGAAGACGCTGACAAAATTCACAGCCTTCCAGACATCTTAAGCAGCCACATGACAATGTTTGGGATGTGCTTCTCACCACCCAAATGCAAACTGTTGCTCCACGACCGGTCTTCAATGGTCCCTCAGTTAACAGTATAGAGTGAAGTGGTTGAATGCATTGAACACCTCATTTACCTGAAAAGTTGAATCAGCCCTGGTAGCTAAGTGAGCGAGGATGTCTCCGCACGGATACAAAAGGCTCGGTTGGCTTTCACTGACTTACTCCATCTGAGGTGTATCTGTGATATCCGATTGTCTATTAGGGGTGCGTGTACTTCACAGCAATCCACTCTGTTCTACTACATGGCTGTGAAACATGGCCATTGAAGGTGGAAGATATGAGAAGATTTCAAGTGTTTGACCACCGTCACCTTCGTAGTTTAAGGCCGTATTCCATGGTGTCACCACACCACGTGAGTAACGCACAAGTCAGGTGCAGAGTTTTATGCAGGAGAGGTGAGTCAATTGACAAGGTTATGAACCTTCATCAACTGAGATGGTTTGGACACGTTACGTATGCCTAGTCACCGATTGCCTCATCACACAATGTTGGCTGGAGTAGGTTCGGGCTGGAAAATGGCCCGAGATGGCAAACTAGAACATGGCACCAACGTATGAAGTGTTTGACTGTTGGTTTGAGCCACGTGGGGCGATGTTGACTAGCCGGTTGGTGTCTACAGAGCAGAAGAACCTAGTGGTTGGTGATTCTAGGCGATGATATGGCTCAGAACCGATGTCAAATCACCCTGAATGGTTTCTAACAGCTCAAGTTGTTTAGTAGTATATTTTGCTGCGTCACTCAGTTCAGTGATCACCTTGGAAACGTAATCAACAGATTTTGATCAGGTGTTAAGAGTTGACAAGGATAGTCCAATTCTAGTTTGATTCACACCTATTTTGTGTGGTTGTTCAAACAATAGTTAGTCGAATGGTATTCACATATCTGAAACACTTTGGTTGAAGTTCTAACATTTATAGATAATTAATGTCTGAAATTTAACATGGACATACGACATCAATAAGTCCTGAACGCCATAAAGTCACTAAAAGTGTGGAAAGCAGCAGGACCAGATAAAATTCCTCCAGAATCGCTGAAAACAGATGCAGAGACAACAGCGGACATGCTTACACCACTATTGCAGAAGGTTTGGAATGACGAAAGCTAAGATACCTGTCGATTGGAAAAGGGGCTACCTTATCAAACTCCCTAAAGAAGGGAGACCTAAATCTTTGCAAGAAATCTGAAGGGAGTTGTCTCTTTCATCCACCTACCTAGGAAGCATCGTTTCAACTACAGTCGGCTGCACAGACACAGACGAGGATGTCAAAGCCAGGATCGGAATAGCAGCAAGACAGGCCTCCACTAACCTGAAGTTAGTGTGGAGATCTACTACACTGCACTGTACTGCAGTCAGCATAAAGCGCGATCAAGATCCGGATTTTCAACACTAAGTCAGTGGTTGTATGTGATGGTTGAGGGACTTGGCGTGTTACGAAAGCATTTTCAACAAACTACAGACATTCATGAGCAGCTGTCTACGTTGGGTACTGAAGATGGATGGCCAGAACGAATGAGCGACATGAAACTCACTCTGGGAACGAACTAACGAAACGGGAACCCATCGTCGAACAAATATGCATTGGAAGGAAGTGGATGTGTATTGGGCATACACTGAGAATACCGATTGGGGACATCATGCGTTAGACCAGGCTAGGCAGTCGAGTGGGAAAGAAGGAGTTGGTTGTCCGAGTCGAGGGTGACATGGAGGAGATGGTGAGTGAGGAATGAATGAATGAAAGGTTATGGGGAGTTGTGGAGCCGTGTTTAAATGGCTGGAGAGAGGGGAGTGAAATTGTGACGTGCTACTGAAGTCCTGTACTCCACTAGGAACCCAAGGGACAAATGATATAATAAATACCAAATCAATGAAGTATCCGACAATTGGTTACTTGTCCCTGATATCACAATCCCTATTGATCCAGAGTTGTTATACAAAGACTTAGATTACTTTAGATTTTTCGATAATTTATTTAAATTTCATTCACCTTTCTGTTATCTTTACCAATAGGAATTTACTGAGGCAAGAAGACGTCTTGACAGAGCACCTCAAGTATTATATTCACATCGGGTACCACCGAATGAATTACAGGGAACTGATGCAGTTGTCAATGACTCAGTAGCATACATCACCTTTGGTAAGTTGATGTATAATATTTTGTTTTCATTCTATCGTTAAGCTAGCTACCAACTTCCTTAGCTCACAGTACAACTATATGAGAAAAGTTGTCTAGATGAAGAAAAGCTATTTCTGCATGTTTCTATACAGTGTACAATAAGTATGGAACCTGAGTAACGCGTTTGTAGGCATATGCCTGCTAGACATGATTATAGTTTAAGAGGTTCATCAAATTTATGTCATTCTGTGCCATTAATGAGTGGTGCTTTCTAATTTCTCCGTTGATTATCAATCAGTATAAAATTCTATTCTACGGTCTCTTTTTTCTGCTGTTACTTAACCAGGTGTCATAGATCGGGGATCGTTTTTTCGGAAGATATTGACTAGGATCGGAGATTCGACCATCTTGCATTCTGCTTTATATCTGCGTCGATGACTTGACCGATTGTTTTAATCTTAACCTCGGTTTGGTTCTCTTGTTGGGTCGTATGAATAACGAACTGAGGGAAATGCCAAACTCTAGTCGCAACTATTATTACTGTCCGAGTTGAGCGGACAGCCATAACATTTGGCTCACTCAGAGAGAAGATAAAATTAAATGACTCGCCCACACAATGCACAGTTATTTGTATTTAGAAAAATACATAGGTAGTGTACAAAGCCTTAAAGTGTAGGCGGCTTAATCAGAATACCAAGGTGGGAGAACCAAGATAGAAACATGAAGGGCATTGGTTGTGGTCCCATTCTCTCCCTCTCTCCCCCCCCCTCTCTCTCTCTCCAGCCATAGGATCACTTTATCCAGTCCAGTATGTAACATCAAAGTTTGACCAGATTCAAAAGGAAATAGTAAAGGTAAACAAGCAAACTACTGACTTCATATGGCTCATACTAATTGTTATGCTGTGTATTAATGCAGTGAGTAAATTGTACTAGGGTTTGTTCTTAGAGTCGGAGGACGCAGTGTTGTATCTCTATAATGTGGCACGCTGAAAAGACCTACAGCTTATTGGTTTAGGAAGTTAACTTTCAATCAATGGGTCACGTGTTTGAACCCCATCCTACATACTGAGGTTTGCGCAGCTAGGCAGTATTACCCATTATACGCGACACAGGAGAAGTGTGGCTCATTGTCCACTGGAAAAATATGCACAGGGTCACTGAGCACATTTCGATTTGATTTTGGCACACTCATCATCATCCATCAACATAGGACCAGGCATTACTACGTAACGATTCGAGTTGTCACACCTCATATCAGTAGATCAAGTAAAAAAGTAGTGAGGTGCAAGATGAAGAGAAAAGAGAGAAAGAATGAGAAAGTGTTGAGATTCAGTATAGCGTCGTTAAGATGAGGATAATGTTTCTGGGGATACATCTACGCCACTGACATCAGTTCTGAGTCATATCATCTAGAGTCAGTCTCCAACCACTGGTTCCTCTTATCCCGCGGACCTGAATCGGCTAGTCTACATTGCCCGACATGGCTCAAACCAACAGTCAGAGACTTCATGCATTGGTGCCATGTTTTGTGTCTGGCTTCCTCGAGCCTTTTTCCAGCCTAAACCTACTTCTGACAACAAACATTGTGTGACGAGGCAGACGGCGACTAGGCATACGTTACACATGTCCCAGCCAGGCATCTGAGTTGATGAAGCTTCCCAGCAGTATCAATTGACTCACCTCTCCTGCATAAAACTCTGCACCTGACTTGTGCGTTACTCACGTGGTGTGGTGACACCACGGAATACGGCCTTAAACTACGAATGTGACGGTGGTCAAACACTTGAAATCTTCTCATATCTTCCACCTTCAATGGCCATGTTTCACAGCCATGTAGTAGAACAGAGTGGATTGCTGTGAAGTACACGCACCCCTAATAGACAATCGGATATCACAGATACACCTCAGATGGAGTAAGTCAGTGAAAGCCAACCGAGCCTTTTGTATCCGTGCGGAGATATCCTCGCTCACTTAGCTACCAGGGCTGATTCAACTTTTCAGGTAAATGAGGTGTTCAATGCACTCAACCACTTCACCCTATACTGTTAACCGAGGGACCATTGAAGACCGGTCGTGGAGCAACAGTTTGCATTTGGGTGGTGAGAAGCACATCCCAAACATTGTCATGTGGCTGCTTAAGATGTCCGGAAGGGTGTGAATTTTGTCAGCGTCTTCACCCAACTGGACTATGTCATCTGTGTATTCTAGGTCTAACGAAAAATTTCCCGTGATTAGGTCAACCTCTGGTAGTCAGGTGACGAGAGGGAGATCTCCATAAGAATATCTGTGATAAAAATGAATAAGAATGGAGATGGTGAGCATCCTTGACGGACACCGCTGGACGTGCGCAGATCCCCGGATATCTTACCATAGGCTGTAACACACCCGCAAGTGTTCGAATAGAGAGCCCTCAGTAAGGTAATATACTTACTCGGCACTTTTTCGGTGATGGACCTTGCCATAAGACTTCTCGATCGACGGAGTCGAATGTCGCCTTCGGGTCGAGAAATATACCTATTGTTGGTGGTCAGGAAGCGTTTCTGTGTTCCCTAACCTGGCGTACTGTGAATGTTAGGTTGATACACCCGCCACCAGGTGTAAAACTTGTCTGGTTTCCTGGAGCTTCCTGATCCCTAGCTTCACTCAGGCGTCGAAGTATTATAGAACCTAGAATCTTAGAGACTATGTTCGTCAGGCTGATTCCTCTGTGGTTATCACAAGAGGACTTCTCGCCTTTCTTGAAGATTGAGATGATCAGTGTTCGAGACGACTCAGAGGGGATCGTATTTGATTCGCATATACTAGTTAACACTCCGGTTAACCTAATTAAGAGGATCCGACTGGGTAGCAGGCAACACAATGGTGGCTGGAGGCCATTTGAGCTGTTCCTCGAAGTGTTCTGCCCGTCGTCCTAGTCATCTCCCTTGCAGGTGAATAGCAGACCCGTCCTTCTCCGCTATAGTCTCACTAACCGTGTTGACCTTTCCCCCGAGTTTCCTTAATAAGTCTAAATAACTGTCTATTGTTACCAACCGCTGCTGCCTTTTCCATCTCTTTAGCCTTCGCTGATCACCACTATTCGCGGTCGTTGCGCAGACTTTTTCTTAATCTGATTTTAAGTCGCGCTCGCTCTTCATTGTACTCAGAGCCTGCAGGGATCATTCACGTGCATCCATTAGTTCGGAAGAAGCTGGTGATATTCACTGCCTCTTTTTAGCCGCTCTTTCGGAGTCGGCTACGGTCTTCAGTGCTGCTTTTACAGCAGACTGAAGAATGCATCAAGCTTCTTCTGGATGAGTGATAGTGTTCTGTTCCGATAACTGTCTAGCCATCTCTCACAGAACATAGCTTTGGTGTTTTCGTTGTGAGCTACACTCGTAGTGGTTTCGTTGCCAAATGTTTCCTACGTCCATAGAGACCCAGGCATATACGCAATGTGGTCTATCTGTGTCCATCGCTGAGTTGAGCTCGGTGGACCTCCAGGTCAGACAGTGTCTTTTCTTATGTCTGAAATTGTTGCTGACTAAAAATAGGCGGTCATCTTAGCATAGTTGTAGTAGGCGTTCACTGTTATCTGTACGTTCAACCGGGACGCCGAAAGTACGACTTGAGTGCGTTTCTGCCTCACTCAGTCTACCCATCTGTGCGTTGAAATCACCTGCAACAACTGATGAATATTTTCATTTTGACTATCTGAGATGAGATGAAAATTTGGACCGCGGGGGGATTCGAACCAGCGACAACCAGGTTTCCGACACCATGCTGATTCGAATCCGGTTGCGGTTTAAATTCCCATTTCACCTTCAATCATCACTGAGTATAAATACTAGTCTGTCAAACCATGGGTACCATCTCAGATAGTCAAAATGACAATCAATATGATGTCCGGGCCCGGGAACCCCGGTGATGACTAGTTCGAATCCGATGGCAGTCTAAATTTTCATTTCACCTTCAGTTGTCACTCATTATAATAAATATTTGTTATATTCAAATTTCAATTATTTCTCTATGTTTTTTTCCACCTAATTTCAGTACTTTTTCCACGTCATTTGGCTACAGAATCTGCGCGTAATTCAACAATCGACTTGATACAAACACTACGCACTTATTTACATTATCATATTAAATGCTCTAAAGCTTATATTCAAATGCGTATGCGTGCTAAAACGGTAGAATTTTTAAAAGTTCTTAATCGTGCACATATTGAATATCCATTGAATCCTGTAATTAAAACTTCAAATCTTACTGATGAATTGATGTCTACGCCTTCATTGTCAGTGAATAAAGCAAGCGGAGGAATACAAAGTGATAATATGTATGTTATTTATGTATAGATTTATATTGATATTTATTGGTTGATGAATTATTATTATGATTATTATTCCCTTGGGTTTCTAGTGGAACATAGGGCTTCAGTAGCACGCCTCCATTTCACTGTATTCTCTGCAGTCTTTTGGATCTGGCACTACGACTGCCCACAAGCTTTCATCTCTTCCTCATATGATCTCCTCCATGTTACCCTCGCCTCGGACAACCAACTCATCGTTTCCCCTATTGGATTTCACTCGATGGCGTAGCCTGACTCGTGATATTCCCAGTCGGCCTTCTCAGTGTATACCCAATCCATCTTCACTTTCTTCTGCATGTTTGTTGGGTGATAGGTTCTTGGTTGGTTCGTTCCCAGAGCGAGTTTCTTGTTGCTTATTCTTTCTGGCCATCTGATCTTTAGTATCGAGTGAGCGTAAGTGGCAGCTGTTGATAAATGAATGTCTGTAGTTTGTTGAAAATGCTTTTTGTAACACGCCAAGTTTCTGAACCATATAGAAGCACTGACTTAGCGTTGAAAATCCGTATCTTGTTCTCTATGCTGAGTGCAGATCTCCACACTGATTTCAGGCTAATGAAAGCCTGTCTTGCTTTTCTGATCCTGGTTTTGACATCCTCGTCTGTGCTGCCGCCTGTAGTTGAAACGATGCTGCCTAGGTAGGTGGTGAAAAGACTACTTCCTTTAGATTTCCGCCGTTAATGGTGATTGGTGCTTGTTGTTGTTCTTCTCTACGTTCACTTGAAGTTTCGTCTTCACTGCTTCTTCTGTCAACTTTTTAGTTTTCTCCTGTAGATCTTCGGGTCTGCGCGACACAAGACATAAATCATCGTTAGCGAAATCCAAATCATGTTGGGTCTTTTCATCGGTCGAGCTAGCGTATGCTCCTCTTCTCGCTTTTCAGAGTTTGTTGCATGATCCAGTCCACCACAATCAGGAAGATCATGGACGATAGTAGGCGGCAACCTTGTCTTACTCCTATCTTCACTTCAAAGGCTGGTTGATGAATATGATAATTTTATTTTTTCGTATCAGGCTTGATCAATCTTATTGCAGCAGTCTCAGCTATGTGCAGCAGGTTTTTGGCAAGCTACATGTGGTGTCGTTTTTGGAACACAATGAATGACATTGAAAGCGTTATTAGCTTCTATATGATGCCTTGTGTTGATTAGATGCGCTAGGACTAAACTTTACACCACTTTCACTTCGCCTTTACGAACGAAGCTGGTAAATGCTCTCGTATCCGGAGACGCACCTGCTTAATCGTATGCCCTATGTAACTAGTTCCACAAGAATAGTTAGACTGGTATATGCAAGGTGAAGAGCTAAGATTAGGTAGACAATCCTTAAGTCTTGAATTGAGCATTGGCTGACTACTGAATGATATGCAAAGCAGACCTGCATAAAACATCTTACTGACTGGTCTATCTAGGCGCTGTAATAGAATGTCACTTGCAATATCTCCCTTGAATTGTAGGCGCAGAAACAAAGGCTTCTTTCCCACAGTCATCAGTTCTCATTTAAGACGAATGTAGTTGTTGTTAGTTTTAATGAACTTGTCCAGATATTCGTTTTCATTTAGAATATCACGGATACATAATAGTTCTTTTTCCATACACTCCTCGGAAAGATCAGTAATTGTTTTGATTAAGTGCTTTCAAGGCGAAGGAGTGACATAGAAGACTACTACATACCCATATAATCTGTATATTTCCATTTCTCTGCTAAAAAAAAGTGTCCAAACCGATAGCTTGGATACGTGCAACCCATCCATCCATCCAAATCAGCCTAGGGCCAGGCATTACTGCGTAACGGTCTGAGTTGCCACACCTCATATCAGTCGATCAAGTAAAAAGGCAGTGAGATGCAAGATGAAGATAAGAGAATTCAGTCAAAAGAAATATGAAGTACGAAAAGAGAAACAAAGAATAAGAAGGTGGTGAGATTCAGTATAGCGTCGTTAAGATGAGGATAATGTGTGTATACATCTACGCCACTGACATCGGTTCTGAGTGATATCATCTAGAGTCAGTCTCCAACCACTGGTTCCTCTTATCCCGCGGACCCCAATCGGCTAGTCTACATCACCCGACATGGCTCAAACCAACAGTCAGAGACTTCATATATTGATACCATGTTTTAATCTGGCCACCTCGGACCTTTTTCCAGCATGGACCTACTCCAGCCAACATTGTGTGACGAGGCAGACGGCGACTAGGCATACGTAACGTGTCCAAACCATCTCAGTCGATGAAAGTTCACAACCATACTGAGCCACTGTCTACTTCAACATACCATGCTAACATAAGTTGGGTTCGGTTAACAGAGGGTTCAGAGTGGTCAGACTAAGACGTGACACTAGTACATGAAGTCTCTTACTGTTGATGTTAGTCGTGTAGAGTGGTGTAGACTACCTAATTGGGTTCATTGAGACGATAGAAACCAGTGGTTAAGGAGTCTAGGTGAGATGGTTGAACATCGATCACTTTTTAATTTTTTTTGAAAAGTTTGAGTGTTCTGACTAACTCTAATTTCTAAATTCTGTTTCCACTTTGTCTTTGTATACTGGTGTGAAGTGAATAGATACAATTGTGTATGCCAGGTTCTACGTGGAGTTTGTCGCGGTTATCCCCATGGTTTTTATCCATGTGTACAAATAACAACTATTACTCATTGTGAAAGATGTAGTTTTTTTCCATCCAAACCCACTAGTCAGGGGCCTAACACTTATCATCATCATCAACATAGAACCAAGCAGTACACAACACACAAAGTTGGTTGCGTGCAAACTCTATCAAAAAGAGCGAGAACTCACTACAGTACAACAACTTCACTGAGCAGCGAAGAAAATTGCTTGATGTCTATCCTAAAGAAGAACGGCTACCCACGAAACTTTGTCACACGATCCCTATCCCGTACATCATCAACTATAAAGCCATCGACAAAAATCAATAAACGCATCATCATCCTGCCTCTACATAATGAATGTATATCAGGGGAACACAACAAGATTACTGAGACGACTGAGAATTGGTATGGCTCATAAACCAACAAATTCCCTCCTAACCTTATTATGCAGACCAAAGGATGCAACAACCAAAGACAAACTGAATATCATCTACAAAATCAACTCCAATAACTGTAGTCAACACTACACATTGGATAAAGTGGTCGCCCATCTTCACCTTCGTCTACATCAACACCAATTGGCTATTGAACATCACACATGACATTTCATCACTCAGTGGAGGTGGATAACAACTATGGAGATGAATTGAATTTTGACAATGTCGAAATGTTGGATGGAGAAAGGAAACACAAAGAATATCATTAGAGAATTCCTAGAAGCTTGGCATTCAAGTCAGTCAGTTAGTAATCCATAGATGTATAGACATAGACGCACTCTATCAAGCGGTAAGAAAAATGATAAACGACAGAAAGGTGAGAGGTCAAGCAGGGGGACAGCCAACAGGAAACTCTGTGGAGTCAGTCAATGAGACAACAATCAAAGAAACAACCAGTCAGGAACCAATTGGTCAGGGCAAGCTACTAAATCACTCACTGACGGAAAGATAATGACAGCTCACTTTATACTGAAGTTAGTGCTGATGATGTTGCTGTCTAGCAAGGCGATGAAAGCGTCTCGACGATTAAACAAGTCAGTTTAGAGAACAGGCAGTGCTTTATAACGATCCAAATGCTACGTCTTATGTCATTACAAAAGCGTTAAAGCACTAATATGATCGGTAAAGAAGAATCGATCAGAAGTGGAAAATAGTAGAAGAGAGTAAGGAGAAATAAATACTGAATGCAGTATAATGATAAAAATGAGAGTAATTGGTACATGCATCTACGCTATTGAGATCGATTCTAAGCTGTGTCACTTGGAATCGCCAAATCACTCATTCCTGTTGTCCGAGTCGACTGATTAAGAGCGCTAGAAATCCATATTCTCTCGAAGATTACAACTCATATGATTGTGTGTTGAAGTAGACGACTTTACCAAGAAATCGTTCAAGTCACGACCACCCTTCCTTCCGGGTGGCAGGGTGGAAGGTGAATTATGTATTGGCCGTATCGTATGCAATTTGATCACCTCTTCTATTGCTATCGACTGGGTAATTAGTGTACTCCAGAGTTTCATGCAACACATGTTATTCCTTAACAATCATCCTATGAAAATGAAACAGGATCAAATTGTGTTCATTAAGAGAGTGAGGGATTAACCACACTCTCCTACTCTATGCGAAGATCACGTTGAAAGTGTTCTATTTTAATCGCTTCCACGAAGTGAAGTAATCTAGACATTCTCTGGTTCTTTGTTATTTTAAAAACATATGAGGTTTCATCTTGACATTTTTGCTCCGGTTCACTCCGATGCTGCATCTCCCTTGAATGTAAGGTGTATAAAAATCTACTTTTCCACCGTTAGAGGTCTATTTTTTTCCATTTCTCACTATAAATCTCTTGGGATATATATCTATCCTTTTGGAGAAACTTCTCAATAAAGTTTAGTTCTTCGTCTAATTTGTTTGCAGAACAAGTTTTGACTAACGCATGCAGTTACAGTTTTTCAACCATAAGTGTCTTCATAACATTGCTCACATTAGTAGAATCACCATATGAGCAATGTCGAGGTCAGGTTAGTTGATTGACAAGGTTGTGGATGCTAGTTGCTTGAGAAGGCTTAGAGAGATGTACTGCACACATCGAGCCGCTATCAACCTTGAAGTTGGATTAGGTTGGAAAAGGGGTAGGGTTCAGTGTGATCATCAATTCTTCTCCTATTGAGGTTGAACTCATTCTCACGTTCATATTCAACTGTAAATTTAATGTTAGGGTGAGCCAAGTTGATTAGTGTAAATATAGCAGATGAGGAGGTGTATTCGTGAAATCCTGTTGTTACTTTATAAAAATAAACTAATGTTTGCTAACCATTTTCACCATCTAAGATAGTAGGCATGATTTAGCAGACTAGTATTTATTATACTGCATAATGATTGAAGGTGAAATGAAATTTTTGAACTATCATAGGATTGAAACTATTGGTTACCAGCTTTTTGGACCTGTGTGAACTACAAGGTCATTGAGTCATAAATCCAGTGGTTGCTGGTTCGAATCCGACTGCAATCGAAATATGATTATAAATTCTTTTTTTGTTGTTGTTGTTGTTTATTTTTGTCTTTAGGAGTCGAACAATGCGAACAGGTTAAAGTTTAATACAATGAGATATGAGATAATTTTTATGAATAATAATAATCCAATTATTTCTCAATTTTACAATAATTTACATGGATCTTGAGTGAATTGTGATGCGAATGAACCCTATTTTCTAATTGACTTTTATATTATTTTCAAAGGTATGATTTCATTTTCTTTTTCTCTTGTTTCTTCTCATTTGGTAAAACTTATTTTTTTGATGAATATTGTTTCACTATTTCCAGCTATGCTTTCCTTATCTCACGTTTTCTATTGTACTCATATTACGACTACATTCCGTATGAACTTCTTGGTGGTGTTTCTTTTTGTTTTTCAAAAATATTTTATGATATAATGAAAGGTAAACAATTGATAGTTAGTAGGTTACTGATTATTCATAATGTTGTTCGATTTGTTATCTCATATGATGTGTAGTGTACTGACCTGCACCCGTCCGGTTAAACTATCATACTCTTCACTGCCGACTTCATGATTCTTAGCTGGGAGTTTGTTTTTTTTCAACAAAAAAAAGAAATTATTTTAGCATCTTGATAAGAGTAAATGGTGCTTTCGAAGAAAAACAGAAAGAAGCTGGAACAAACAACGAATAACCATGACTACTGGGGGTTTTTATTTTAAGAGAACCAATAAGTAGTATATGTGATTTTCTCATCTGCCTTATTTCTTCTGTTTAGGTAGTGAGTATTTTATAATTAATTAGCCATGGTCTATGCTACTTCCCAATGAGGACTTTTGCTTATTGCTAACATTCGATTTTATACCTGTTGTTTGACGCCAGTTCTTTTTTTTTTTTATATGATTTTACAAAGATGTTTCTTTGTATATTTTTCATGTTTGTTATACTTTTTCTTCTTGTCTTGGTCTATAAGTGACTGACGTCCACTTGAATCACTAATTGGGGCGAGTGTTGAGGTTCTGTGTGTACCTATTGACTGCGAGACGTTGTATACCTTGATAAGTGATGTTGATGGGAGTAAAAGGTGTATTGGAACTATTATTAATGGATCTCAGTCGATATGAATATGGAACTGGACATTACTGCGTAATTGGCCTAGTTATTACATCTCATATCAACACATGAAAAGAATATCAGTCGATGGTAGTACATGCTTATAGATTCCAAGATATGTTTGCCTGAAGTTAATCATATCGTCTTTTTGGAAGATTGTGATTTAACGTTGATTGTCTTGAATTCAGCTAAAAAACGGTACCATAATTACCGCTAGACAGACCACTGAGTAAAGAAATGTATGGTATACCTGGGATCGACGTTTTCTATAACGCCTCTCTTCCTCGCAGAAATGAAGCATTTTTTCTCACAACCTAGTTCAGCCATGAGTACGACTTCGTTTTCATTAATTTTGGCGTAAAACTTGAGCACTGTGGTAGAAATTAATTCCATATCACATTTGTTTACTTGGTTTATAACACACACACACACACACAAACAGTGAGTGATCTAGTATTATTTACTTGATGACCACGTTTCGAGCAGTATTCACTCATTACTCATAATCATACCTCAATGTAATCACACTCCACTTTCGACATCTGATTTCTATAGTTATATCACTTCTTGTGAGTTGTTTTTATTGGTATCAAAATTTCCCATATCTCTGGTGTACGAGTGTTGTGTCATTTCTATTACATGTGTTGAGTGTTGATTCGATGAACAGTGATTCAGTAATCAATCTCCCTCTCTCTCTCTCTCCACCTAATTATATTGGACTTAAGTGCAGTGGCTTTATCCCACCCACCCTATTGTGTGTAGTTGTGTGTTAATGCAGGCATAGCAATAGCCGAGTGCTTTTCTACATTATTGATCTTATTCACCTCTGTCATTCTATATTTAGATAAATTCCTATGTTCGACTATTCTAACTGACCCCGACCGACTAGTTTGACTGACCTGTATACTTGACCTGACTCACAATCATTACATGGAATTTGATAGATTAGATTATCTTGCTTAATTGGTCCTTTCGGATGCTGAAGCCAATCGACGAAGCTTATCTCTGAGTGAGATTGTAGGTTTATATGCCACCATAACTAGTTCCAGCTGTGTTGAGGATTCTATGTAAAGTTTCTGAGGTACCCTGTTTATAGGGTAACACAGAATGGAGGTTGTGAACTCCTTGTTTCTCGTGTTGTCGTTAGTAGTTGCACTCGTGTGACTGTTATTTTTTCGTGTTTTGTGTGTCCGTAAGAGTTTCTTAATAAACTGAGGATAATTATTGACTACTAGCGCTTCTCATACGTGTTTCGACTCCTTGCTTAGGTTCTTGCTGTGACTAGTCAGTTTTGTAGCTGTATCATTTAGACATTTGACTAATCCTGCCTTCAATGACTGAGTGACTGACATATTGGATGAGATGATTTGAAGTGTAGATACGTGTTGGTTTTGTGTAGAGAGTAGTAGTATCCAAGCCACCGTCTGTTCTTTGTTTTATTCTGCAATCGAACATAGGTAATTCTCCTTGTTCATATTCTACCTCGTCGTAAGTGAATTGGATTGCGTTTACTACTGAGTTTATATGTGTGAGGAAATTGTCGATATGTTCCGATTTCAATACAGTGAATGTGTTATACACATATCGCCACCATATTTTTGGTGTAGGACTAAATGTTTGTAAAGCCATATTTTCAGACCACCATCGTAGCTTAACTATTTCCACTGTAATGGTAACTTCTTTTTTCTTACCAATATCTAACAACCATTTCTAATTTGGTTAGGATCTCAAGGGACATGTGTTTCACACCGGTATAGGTCGTCGAGTCATTATGATGTGGAAGTCTGACAGCCTTTTCAAGGTAGCAGATATCAGTTGGTATTAGTATATCTACTCAATCTATGAAGGGTCGCATTACCCTGGTTATTTTTTTTTCAGTTTCATGTGTTGATTGTCAAATCAAACTAGTCCTAGTGAGTCTATCAGCTTTCTTGATGGAATCAACTGATGAAATGCTTCGAAATATGTGTATCCCGGGATGTTTGTTCAGTTGGTTATATGTGAACTTCTTGGCACATAGAAACTTCAAGGTCTTCTGTACAAAACAGCCTTTCGATGCCAGTTATTGACAGACTATTGTAAAGGGGAGCGAAACGCATATTCTCAGACATGTGCAGTTCATTCCTCTACGTCTTGAAACATACAGTTTTTCTGCGAAAACTGGAGTAATTAAGGTGTAGTTCAACCCTGTGACCCTTTCTTCGCTGTTTATTTGTTTTTCCTTCGCCTGTTGATAGGTCACAGTTCTGTAGATTGGGTGTTTGAGAACATACTTGGGCATTTATTATATATAATTGATAATAGAAGCCATTGACGGTTGCATTGCAACTAAACAACTTCCCTCTACTTCAACAGTACTGTAATCAAAGATCAATCAAATGGTTTCCAAAATTTTCCATGTAATTATGTCTCCCCTATATCATTTTGAGTGGGACATCTCTACATGAAGACAGACAGATCAGCTCATATGAAACTATAGTCTCTAAGATGGCATCACTTGGAACCGACGCATTTCACATCATGAACAGAAATAGCGTGCCAAAAAAGGTAGGAAGAGGATAAAATGAATCAGGAGAACATAAGCTATTCAAAAAACATTGTACCTCGATTAAAAATGGGTACGCGTGGTAGCGTAGCCAAAAGACCATCTACATTTAGTAACTTCGTGGATCAGTGGTCTATCTTTGGGGTAATCATGGAGTGACATAAGTTCGAAAACCAGCACTAGCCACCTATTCCTTACTGATATGCGACTCCTCATCTGTACACACCCATTATTCCACCCAGGATCGAACTCAAGACCCTCAGGTCTGGAGGCGAACGTGTTAACTGCCCAGCCACTTGGTTGAAGTCCAATGATCCGCAGTTTACAACTTCTGTCATTTTGTGATGTAGCGTAATACGAACGAGTCACACTAGGACGAAACGTCTGTACAGTGCTCCTAGGTATTCGGTGGTTCTCCAACTTATGTCAGTCCATGATGAATACTACCTTATCACTCATTTCGACTAGTATCTGAGATAGGAGCCGTGGTTTGTCACACTATTTATACTGGTTGATGATTGAAGGTGAAATGAAGATTCCAACTGCAGTTGGATTCGAACCAGCGACCACTGGGTCTCCGGCTCGATGCTCTACCAACTGAACTCCAGGAACCAACTGGTTGATGAAGTGAAATAAAAAATCTGGCCAGCTGTCGGGTCTCATATCTCAGTTGGTATAGCATCGGGTCGGAAACCCCGTGGTTGCTGGTTCGAGTCCTGCCGTGGTGCTAATTTCCACTTCACCTTCAATCATCACCCAGTATAAATAGTAGTCTGCTGAACTACGGCTGAGACGATATATTGCACATATGAATCTATGTACTTTCGAATGAATTAAAGATTGGTTTACGGGCTCATTATCTGAAGGAGCTGTTTCTGAGATCCACCACGATGGCATAGGTATGGGTTTTTCTGTTAGTCCCTTGGATACTACTACTCTCTACAGAAAACCAACACGTATCTACACTTCAAATCATCCCATCCAATATGTCAGTCATTGAAGGCAGGATTAGTCAAATGTCTAAATGATAGAGCTACAAAACTGACTAGTCACAGCAAGAACCTAAACAAGGAATTGAAACAGGTAAGAGAAGCGCTAATAGTTAATAATTATCCTCCTCAGTTTATTGAGAAACTCTTACGGACACACAAAACACGAAAGTCACACGAGTGCGACTAGTAACGACAAAACGAGAAACAAGGAGTTCACAACCTCCATTTTGTGTTACCCTATAAGCAGGGTACCTCAGAAACTTTACGTAGAATCCTCAACACAGCTGAATTAGTTGATGTGGCATTTAAACCTACAATCTCACTCAGAGATAAACTTCGTCAGTTAGTTGTTTAAGCATCCGAGGAACCAATTAAGCAAGATAATCTAATCTATCAAATTCCATGTAATGACTGTGAGTCAGGTCAAGTATATAGGTCAGTAAACTA